ATTTTGTATGTTTCAATACATTTTCCTCCCATTCTTCTAAACTCTAATGAACCCAGGCCCAACCTACTCAACCTCTTCACATAATAAGATCCTGCCATACCTGTGATCAATCTAATGTGGCTCCTCTGGAGTGCAACTGATCTTTTTTTTGGTTCAGGGACACGTCCAGTTATAAATCTCCTAGATCACCCCCATTGAAGGGAGTAGATGACTTCAGACCTGTTGAAGACTAGACTTTAAAAAAAATTATCTCTAATTATGGACGGAAATAGGAGAACTGTTTTAAAAACCAAGGACTGCTGTGGGATTGCTGCACTTTTTGAAACTAAATAAACTAACACTCATTATAAGTTCTGTTACACTGCTGCTGGTTCAAACAGGAGTGGATGATTTGTAGATGAGCTAGAGCCAAGGGCTGTGACCAAATGAAGATTCAGCCAGCAACAAGTAGTTGTCTGTAGGCTAGTGACCAGTTATTGATGATAACAACTTTCTGCCTGCCAACAACTGTGTTTGGCTCTCAGTTAGCTGAAAAGCTTGAAGTTATGAAGAAGATAGTGAGATGTCATCAGATCTCTACCAGATCAGGAACTGTCTTTTCTCTGCAGTAAAAAAAAAGTTTAAACCCCCCAAAAAACCCATTTATTTTTCCTTCAGCAATTGCTGTAAGTTGTGACTTTTGGATTAATAATTTTGAGATCTTTATAAGTGTGAATCAGTCACCCTGTGTCTCCTGTAAATAAATGAAAGCATCCAGAGAAGGCAAATCAAGAAGCAGCACTCTGATCAGCACAACAATCATCTCAGTAAATCCTGTGAGCAGTGAATTTATACTGCTTTCTCGGTTTTTCCCTCCACCCATTAAATGTTTCTTTCTAGCCATATATGTGTGTAGTGGGGAGTTTATAACGGAATTTTAATTAGAGTTTAATACCAATGGTTCATAATTGCTTACTTGTAGCTAGAGTCTATTCATTTGTGATAAATAGTCAATCTCGTTAAGTACAGAAACCTGGTCTGTTCCTTCTGGATCTGAAAGCCAGTTAAACTGGGAATTTCTAGGTAGTTTTAAACTCTTTAGCTTTTGTGACAACTGCTGGAATAGCTCGGCTTGATTTCCAATATGCAACCCCAGTGAGGCTTAACCCCTGATAACGGGAAGGGCATTTAAATGGATGTTGCCAACATTCAAATTTTCCTCTTGCAATTTTTAACAAATAGATGAATACCAGAGGACCACAATTTTTGCTTATCAAAGAAATTAATGATATAGATGGAGTTTGTCATGAGAAAGATTAATCTCCTTTAGGTTGTTCTTAGCTGCAGTAATAAACATCTGCCACTATCTCCATCAGAATAGCAGTTAGGTTGTAAAGCAGCAATAGAGCCAAAAGAAGCATCTTGGGTTGCATTCAGCAGTCAACTCAGTGGGCATGCCACAGACTTAAGGTAAGGCTGTATGTATGCTTCAGTGGTCACTGAAAAGTACCCTAACAGAACATTTTCAAATTTTGTTTTACCAATCTCACCTCAATAGCTGTAAGCAAAATACTGTGAATTCTAGAGATCTGAATTAGGAACAAAAAGTGCTGGAGAATTTGACAGGTGGAGACAGAGGCAGAGTTAACATTTTGAGTCCGATATGACTCTTCTTCAAAACTCTTTTCATATCAGTCTCAAATCCTCAACGTTGTTTCTATCAACAGATGCTGCTAGACCTGCCTAGTTCCTTCAGCACTTCGTTTTTACTTCACCTCATTGGCTACCTATCCATCTTATAAGGTGTCACTGCTGCCTGTTTTGAGTCCTATTTGACCACATGCCATTCCCAAAATGCCACCCAGTAGATATCTGCTGGAAGATTTGTAACCTTTGTGCCTGCACCATCTGTAAAAGTCTGCTGTGCACTCAGGTGAGCATTGGCAATCTGCTGTTGTCCATCACCAGCAACATAATGGTACAACAGCTATAAAGTCCCACTGTTCATGACCTGTAGCCAGTAGAATTGATACTCCCTCTCACATAGAGCCCCATTCTCTCACTTTAGGCTGAACAGTTTAGTTGCCCTTAGCTACATCCCATCTAAACATCCTCTCTAAGTCACCTCTACGTTGCCCACTGGAGACCTGCAACTTGTCATTATTCAGCAGGGAATCATCACAAAGTGGCAAGCAATCAGACAATTGGTGATAACTATGTAATTAATGGAGAAATCCAGGGACTGTTCTGCCACTTGGATTTGAATTCTGCCATGGCAGTTGGTGGAATTTGATATCAATAAAAATCTGAAATTAAGGGTCTAATGATGACCCTGAAATCATTGTTGATTGTCAGGAAAAACATGTTTGCCTCACTAATATCTTTTATGGAAACTGCCATCCTTATGTGCTCTGGCCTACAAGTGACTCCAGACTCACAGCAATGTGGTTGACCCTTAACTGCCCTCTGTTTAATTAGGGATGAGTAATAAATGCTGGCCTGGCCAACAACACCCACATCCTGTGAATGAACAAAAAAGAATATAAACATGAACTTTTATTTATAGCCATCAAAAAAGACCAACAAAACGAATAGGCACGTCAGTTCACCCCCGTAATTTCCATCAAATGTTGACATTATGATAATAATTTTATAGTTTGTGATGGTCTGTTACTCCAGCTCTAATTTACTGGAAGTGAGTGTCAATCAAGCACTGACTGACACTGCCATGGACCTTCTCCTATGTTTATTTCAGCTTTTGAGTGGGCTTACCCATTCCAAGGTATGGTGCAAAGTCCAAAACCGGCCCTAGCACTGGTCACCATCTCTTTGGGCATTTTCCATCCCTCTGGCCTTGAATTTCTCATCAGGTTTTGCATTTTACCATCTTGATCATCAATTGAGGCTCTTACCACCACCTCCAGTTCCAAGTGTCTGCCCACCATTTTCACATTTAGACCAATTTGACATCTGTACTCTTTTAAGTGAACAGCAACAGGCTTTAATGACCATGTCTACGTACAGATAGTAGCAAAAGAAGACACCTTACTTGGAGCCCTATAGCCCCATACTCTACTTCCTTGTGATTTGATGTCACTATGCCATGGCTCCTTTTGCACATGCTCATTAACTATACTTAGCAAAAAAGCTTAGTTCCCTTTACTCTACATTGTTGAATTGAATCCCTGCCTACTTTATCAGGTTGAAATCAATCATGCCTTGGTGCTATTTTGAAGAAGGCTGGGAGATTTATGCCAATGTCTTGGCCGATATTTATCCCTCAATCAACGTCACTAAAAAAAAACCGGCAGACAAGGGAGGCGCAGTTGTATTATGGCGCACTGACCTCTACTTCGCCGAGGCCAGGCGCCAGCTCTCTGACACCTCCTCCTACCGCCCCCTTGATCTTGACCCCACCCACGACCACCAAAACATCATCTCCCAGACCATCCACAACCTCATCACCTCAGGTGACCTCCCACCCACAGCCTCCAACCTCATTGTTCCCCAACCCTGCACCTCCTATTTCTATCTCCTTCCCAAAATCCACAAACCGGACTGCCCTGGTCGACCCATTGTCTCTGCCTGCTCCTGCCCCACCAAACTTATCTCCACTTATCTCGACTCCATTTTCTCCCCCTTGGTCCAGGAACTCCCTACCTACGTCCGTGACACCACCCACGCCCTCCACCTCCTCCAGAACTTCCAATTCCCCAGTCCCTGACACCTCATCTTTACCATGGACGTCCAGTCCCTATATACTTGCATTCCCCATACTGATGGCCTAAAGACCCTCTGCTTCTTCCTGTCCCGCAGGCCCGACCAGTCCCCCTCCACCAATACCCTTATCCGCTTAGCCGAACTCGTCCTCACCCTTAAAAACTTCTCTTTCAATTCCTCCCACTTCCTACAGACAAAGGGGGTGGTGGTATCCGCATGGGCCCAAGCTATGCCTGCCTCTTGGTGGGATATGTGGAACAATCCCTCTTCCGTACCTACACTGGCCCTAAACCCCACCTCTTCCCCTGTTTCATCGATGACTGTATCTGGCGCCGCATCGTGCTCCCACGAGGTGCTCAAACAGTTCATCCACTTCACTAACACCTTCCACCCCAACCTTAAGTTCACCTGGACCATCTCTGATACCTCTCTCTCCTTCCTGGACCTCACTGTTTCCATCTCTGGCAACCACCTGGAAACCAATATCTATTTCAAGCCTACTGACTCCCACAGCTACCTAGAATACATCTCTCCTCACCCACCTTCCTGCAAGAATGCCATCCCCTATTCCCAATTCCTTCGCCTCCGCAGCATCTGCTCCCGAGATGAGGCATTCCACTCCCGGACATCCCAGATGCCCTCATTTTTCAAAGACTGCAATTTCCCCTCCACAGTGGTCAAAAACGCCCTCGACCGCATCTTTTGCGTTTCCCGCAACTCATCCCTCACACCCCCTCCCCGCAATAACAACCAAAACAGAATCCCCCTCATCCTCACATACCACCCCAGCAACCTCCGGATCCAACGCATCATCCTCCACCACTTCCGCCACCTGCAATCTGACCCCACTACCAAGGACATTTTTCCCTCCCCACCCTTATCTGCCTTCCGGAGGGACCACTCTCTCCATGACTCCCTTGTCTGCTCCACACTCCCCACTAGCCCCACCACCCCTGGCACTTTTCCCTGCAACCACAGGAAGTGCTACACCTGCCCCTACACCTCCCACCTCACCCCCATCCCAGGCCCCAAGAAAACCTTCCACATCAAACAGATGTTCACCTGCACATCTGCTAATGTGGTATACCGTATCCGCTGTTCCCGATGTGGCCTCCTCTACATCGGGGAAACCAAGCGGAGGCTTGGAGACCGCTTTGTGGAACACCTACACTCAGTTCGTGACAAACTACTGCACCTCCCAGTCGCAAACCACTTCAACTCCCCCTCCCACTCCTTGGACAACATGTCCATCCTGGGCCTCCTCCAGTGCCACAACGATGCCACCCGAAGACTGCAGGAACAGCACCTCATATTTCGCTTGGGAACCCTGCAGCCCAATGGTCTCAATGTGGACTTCACAAGCTTCAAAATCTCCCCACCCTCGAAGTCATCCCAAAACCAGCCCAGCTCGTCACCGCCTCCTTGACCTGTCCGTCTCTTCTCCCACCTATCTGCTCCTCCCACCTCACTGACCAACCCCCCCCCCCACCCCCGACCTCATCCCAAAACCAGCCCAGCTCGTCCCCGCCTCCTTGACCTGTCTGTTTTTCCTCCCATCTATCCGCTCCTCCCACCTCACTGACCAACGCTCACTCCACCTCCTACCTACCAGCCTCATCCCCGCCTCCTTGACTTGTCTGTCTTCCCTCAATTGACCAACCCCAATCACAACTCTCTACCTATACTCACCTTTACTGGCTCCATCCCTGCCTCCTTGACCTGTCCGTCTTCTCTCCACATATCTGGTCATTTATCCACCTTCCATCAGCGCCTCCCCCCACTCTCTCTCTATTTATTCCAGAGTCCCCTTCCCCTCCCCCATTTCTGAAGAAGGGTCCAGGTCCGAAACGTCAGCTTTCCTGCCCCTCTGATGCTGCTTGGCCTGCTGTGTTCATCCAGCTCTACACCTTGTTACCTCAGATTCTCCAGCATCGGCAGTTCCTACTATCACCAAAAAAAGAGTTGTTTGGATATGCTTATATTGCTATTTATGGGAGCCTTACTCATTGTAAATTGGACGTTGTTTTTCCTTCATTGCACAAGTGACGACATTTTGTTGGCTATAAAGAGCTTCGGGACATCTATAAAGGTCATGGAAGGCAAGATATAAATGTAAGTTTTTATTCTCTTTAAACCAATGTCTCTGTAAAGAAATTTTAAAGATAGTGATCAGTCAACCACTAGACTAGTTGACATCATGGGAATATTAAAAGGATATCATCCTCTAAATACTCTCATTCTAATTTTTTGAATTCATAACAAAAGTAATACATGGTTGATAAAACACAATAACACATTGAAGATGACATTATATAAGAAACAATTTTACTTCCACTGTAAGAGTTCTGAGTCTTTGGGAGTTTTCGGGACAAACCACTCTCAGAAAAAGCTTTCCTTTCACTCCTTTCTCCATATACTATATATACATATTTCTTCATGTAGGAGCAATAGTTTTAATTACAGGCATTTAAATTGACAGATGACCTTAAGTCAGTTAGCAGCAGATGTATTGGCTTCAGCCAGTGTCTGTTAATTAGCTCCATTCTTAGAAGTACCAGATAAAATTTTTACAGAAAGAGTTGTTTGCTTTTAGCACTTAACTCAGGCATTCAGCTATTACTTGACAGTTCCTTAAGTACATTTTTTAAGATCTTATTTCTTCTCACTCTGTCCTGTTGAATTTGGATTTCTGATTCAAATGTGTCCGGGTTACCTCTGTTTCCTGTAATGTCAGATGGCTCAGTTGGTTGTACTGTTGTCTTAACCTGAGTTAGAAGGCCAAGGGTTTCACCCCAACCTCAGACTTGATTAGTACTATTGCCTGGGAGTATGGAACTTGAGTATTGCTGAAAAAAGTAGACATGCTGTTGAAGCTTTTCATCTTGCATTCACAAGGACAGAATTGCAAGAATGCCAAATTTCAAAGGAAACAACAAATTATGCATCATGAAAGGAGGGTGTGTTTAGTTGACAAATGGACTCTGACTGGTCAAAGTATTGTGATTTAGAATGCACCATCATTATTTATTCCTCACTTTTTGTTTAAATCCAAGTAGGTGCTCATTTGTTGACACAGTACCATGGGAAATAGTTGTTTCCCAAACATTTATTTGCTTGCAAAAGTGTATACTCTTTCTGTTTACAAAGGACTGGGAGGACACCCATATATATAGCTTCCAGCAAGTGTAGCGAATATATTGTATGCCTGACTGGTAGTCTTAAATTGGTTATTTGCATAATTCTTGGCACAATCAAGACTACTTAGTACGTATTGAGGTAACAAGGTGTAGAGCTGGATGAACACAGCAGGCCAAGCAGCATCAGAGGAGCAGGAAAGCTGACGTTTCGGGCCTAGACCCTTGCTCCATTGTGAAATGACATCTAATGTTGGACATTGCTCTGCATTTTTCAAGCACAGGACAGTTGGAAACAGTCAATACCCTGCTTGGTGCAAACAGCCAAAGGAATCTACTGTTTGATATGCTCTACCAGTCATTGGGATGTAAGGCACACATAATTGGCATCACACCAGCACTGAAATTCATGTATTGTATTATTCATTTGTATTTGTATTATTCATTTGTCTGGTTGGCTGACCATCTTTTTATTGGCTTAATAGCATTTTGTTGGAGAATACCAGTTGCGTTGCTTCTGAAAAGTAGCAGGTAAAATGACTAGCTTCACCTACTGCTCAAAGTTTTCAGACACTTCCCTTTCCAGTCTCAGTAAGAGTAAACTCATTGGGCTGCTCCAAATCAAAGACAAATTTGAGCATGGGATTGAGATCATTAAGGTGTGTAAGGTAATTCTTGCATGCAGCTGCAGATTGAAATATAGCAAACATAATATCTTCTGTGTCACGAAAATATACAAGAAATAAAAGGTTAGGGGGCATTTCATCAAAGATACATTCCTTGAGGAAAGCAATAATTGTTAGCAACTGGGTATGAAATCTCCTCCAGGCTCAGCTCTTAGCAATATTTTCATTGGTTTCCATGAGAAATTCATCTTTGATGGAATGACCTCAATGGAAGAGGCAATTCAATTATTGAACAACAGATTGAAACTTAATGAAAAAAGACAATTTGTCAAAGCTTTTCATCTTGCACTCATCAGGACAACTCACAAGAAATACCAACATGAAGGGAAAATAAAATATACACTGTATGAGATGAGAGTGTTGATGTGTTGTCAAACGGAATCTCGTAAAGGTAGCATTGGAGAATGCAACAGTTAATGACAAGATGACAGTTAAATGACAAACTTTTGTTTAATTTTTAAACTAATCCTTGAGAATGTGATAAGGCATGATATAAATGTAAGTAATTTCTTTTTTGTTGTTGAACACATGTAAACATTGTAGGTTGCCTTACTATCAGAATGAATCCACTTTTGGAGAATGTGTTTTACATTTGCTCAGCTTTCTAGCCAAGACTATCTGCATTTGGGAATTTCCTGTCATATCAAAGAATAGAATCATAGAATCCCTACAGTGTGGAAGCAGGCCATTAGGCCCACTGAGTCCACACTGACCATTTGAAGACCATCCCACTCAGACTCAACCCCCTACCCTATCCCTGTAACCCTGCATTTCCAATAGTTAATCCACCTACTTACACATCCCTAGACACTATGGGCAATTTAGCATGGTCAATCCACTTAGTCTGCATATTTTTGGACTGTGGGTGGAAACCGGAGCACCTGGTGGAAACCCACGCAGAAATGGGGAGAATGTGCAAACTCCACGAAGAGGGAGCCTGAGGGTGGAATGGAACCCTGGTCCCAGCTGCTGTGAGGCATTTTTTTGAGAGTTTAAAAATTTTGTCCAGCCTGTGACAATAACATTGTTTCACTTACTGTTTGAAAGCTCGGAGAGGTCTTACAGTAATGAAGTTCTCTTCAGATTAAATTATTGTAGAAGAAAAGTCAAGGTGATAAAATAAGGCTCAATCAGTTGATACCCCATTTTGTAAGTGGGGCAGTTGGTGTCATCTTGCTTCGTCTTTAGCTTTCTGAAGCCTCCCTTAGCTCATGGTGCCATGCTAGCTACCCTTCTGATTTTACTTCTTCCTTTTCTGTTTTTACCCTCAATTTTCCTTCAGTTATTTCCAGGACCTCACAAGTAAGCAGGTTGTAAATCGGGGTCCAGATATTCAACTACAAATGCATTCCAGATGGAAGTGGATGGCGAAAAGATGACAGGGTGCAAATGGCGCCACTGCTGAAACATGAGCAACTTAAGTGGGTTATCTTATGAGGAAAGGTTAGACAGAATGGATTTGTTTCCACTGGAGTTTAGAAGAGTAAAGGGTGAATGATTGAAATGTATGAGACCCAGAGTGGTATTCCCAGAATGGATGTGGAAATTATGTTTCTTCTTGTAGTTCAGTCCAGAAGTAAGGGGCACTGTTTTAAAATTAGGGGTTATCCTTTCAGGATAGAGATGAAGAGAATTTTTTTAAAATGAGGTTTGTGTGACTTTGATACACTCTGCCTTAGGAAGTGGTGGAGGAGGATCTATGAACTATTGTCAAGATAGAGGTGGATCGATTCTTGTTAGGAGGTGGAAATCAAAGGTTTATGGAGAAAAGTGCGAATGTGTAATTTGAAACACATACAGATCAGCCATGATCTTAATGAATGGCTAAAGGTGTATCACTGCTCATATTTTGTATGAGAATTATTAAATTCAGTTTCTCCTACTGTCTGTGGCACCTTAATACACCAACATGTTGCCCTATTTGGTACATATGTTATTTAATGTAGTCCTGATTGCATTGCTTGAACACCTGTTTTTGATAATTATTACATCTGATTGTCATAGAAATAAATATGAGATCACAATTCGGTTTTACAACATCTTGCTTTATTAAAAATATTTTAAATTCATTATTGATATGGTTTATTTGTATGTTTTTCTTGTTAAATTGTTTAAATGAGAATATCAACATTTACTTTGACAGTCAACAAGAATAACAACATGGCCATTTTCTATAAAATTCAAAACAACTTGACATAGTTCTTACACCATTACCAGATGTCTTCATCCCAATTAAGTAAATTACATCTGATTCTACTGTTGTTTCCCAGAGGAGGGCATGCTCTAGAAATAAAGGTGCCAAGAGCAGGAAATGCCATTTACCTAGGCATGATTCGTTTATGGGAATTATTCAACATTTCCACATTAAAGAACACCAATGCATAGGAAGCAATGGCATTCATTTGATTGGGATACTGCAATCGTCATGGCTCTGATGTTCCATGTGTTCAAGTCATGCTTGTTTCTCTGTGGGATTCAACTTTCAGATACTTCTCATAAGTCACTGTTAAAACTGTTGCCATGGGGAGTGAATTCATGCCTTTCTAACATTAGTGTTCTTTCTGCTTGTTTTAAAGAAACTTCAACAAAAATGCAATTTGAAAAATGCAAGATTTTATTTTTACAACTTCCCAACCAAGTTTTACCAATGTGAAGATTTTCCCTTGTCCATAGCCAAAGGAAAAGATCCTTTTTACGTACTGCCTCATTTCTGATTTTTTTTTTCTTACCTATCTCTAGGAATTGTATCAAAATCCCTGGGAATAATGTCTGTGAAACTGCACTTTGTATCTCCTGCTGATTCTAGTGGAATCAACCGCAGCCGTTCATTTACTGGCTTTGGTACAATGCAAAGCAGAAGAACCCAGTAAGTATTGTAGGAGTTTAATAACATCATATGGAAATGTGAATACATTAAGTTCGTTTACATGGCAACTAATCAATTTTCCAGTGAATAGAAAATGAAAAAGCAAATCAATTATTCTTTTCTTCCCAAGCAATGCAGCTTAACTCTATTCCACCAAAAGTTGGTATCTTCACAGTTGTTAACCAAATGTGCTGTGTAATCAGTACACAAGAAGGACACCCTTGTGGTATGCCCTTATTCATGCCATTCTCCTCTCTACATGAGATGTTGTTCCACACCGCCAGTCAGCTCTCCACTACTAAAGCAATTGAAAGGTGACAATGGTTAACAAAGCAAGGGCGTTAACTGATGACTAGCACAAATGGTTCTGAAGTGCCCAAGCCTGGTAACCTTGAGCTGTTTTACTATTTGCATGTAAAATATTTGATTGGTTGTTAATCGCATTGAAAGACTTGGCTATAACTCAGGTGGCTCATGTATGGCATTTTGCTATTAAAATCATGTGAGGCTCAAGTGTAAGATGAC